GACTATGACATTAACAAGGAGAGTGCTATGGATCAGGTTAATAGGATCCAGACTCGTTTTGTTGACACTGTGAATTAAAAAAGAAGAGCAATGTGAATCAAGCAAGCAGAGAGGAAAGAGAGAAAATATGCGGAATATGTATAGATGTACATTTACGAACGCACATGTATATGTTTACACGCATGGATGTGTATGTATAATCAATCCTACATTTGTACACCTATACGCATATATTCATACGCATGACTTGTGCATGAATAAATGTATACGAATATGTTAGGAAGCATACCGGTTTCACCGTTGTTGTCGTCGTCCGTCAGGTTGCTGAATCCGTTAGCAGCTAGGAAGACTTCTTCCATTGTGGTCATACTCAACCCATAATCCTCTACCTCAGAATAGTCGTCGAGCGCTACAGGAGAGAAGCCATATAAATGTATACATAAACACATGCACAGTCATAGATACGGATGTAACAAGAACATATACACATTGGTATGTGTTTATGTTTTAAATAAGAATTTGATGTGCGCGTGAGCGTTCGGAATAGTTCGCTCGTACCTAAGCGCGTATGTGTAGCATCGAAGGGGAGTGTACAGGTGTGATGTGTTTGAGTGGGGGTAATGATCCAACAAATACAGTCAGCGATTAGAACACTCGCAACATATACACTCACACCTGACCACTCCATGCGACCTTACTCGCCGACATGTGTACACACACACATCACTAGTATTAACCACAAGCACTTCTCAACCCATGTTTCTACACAGCGCAAACACATGCACAGTCAGGCTATACTATACGTGCGCACATGACATAACATGACATATCACACCTACACACCTTTTAACAGATCAGGGAAGACCTTCGCATCGCTCGAGGGCATGGTGTATGTGACTTCCGCGCCCACACTTGACTCTAGCTTCGCCACAGGAACAAACGACATGATCAGACGCGTTAACGCGTTCACATCGATGGAATCGGCAATCTTTGATGTCCCTGTGTTGCCATGGAGGTGTATTGGTTTAGAATTTTAGGGTTTAGTTTGGGTTAAGAATACCCACCAGTGTCAATAAAGGTCCAAATTGAAGGGTAGTGTCCTGAGTCAGGACCATACAACCACATACAACGCATAACAAGTACACGAGCAAGCATGTACACGCACAGCACCATACAACCACATACCACGCTTCGCTGTGCACACCAGATGGTAGCCCGCCCCATACGCCTGTTTGAGATACAGTGAACTGCCTATGCACTTGAGTTGACCGTCGCTAATGATGGCTATGCGATCGCCTAACAGATCCGCTTCATCCATAAAGTGAGTGCTCAGGAGGATGGTACGACCCTTCCGTTGGCGTAGGAGGAACTCCCACGTGCTACGACGACTGTGTGTGAAGGAACACAAGGAGTATATATATATATATATATATATAATATATATAATTATAATATAATATAGAATAATATAAATATAGAATATGAGTATATAATAAAAATAGATACAC